TGGAAGGCAGAGAGAGTCATGGCTGAAGAGAACTGCTTCAAGGTGCTTGACCTAATGCTGTGACCAACATTTATATGGATATATCTAATTTAAGATGTGATATTCATCTCCTTAGTTGCGTTAATCTCAAGAACTTTCATGCATGTTTTGTAATTACTATTAGTTTTTAATTTCTTGACTCTTTCTCTTGTCAGGTCATGTTCATTCAAAACAAAGGTCAGGTCACCTTAACTATTGAGCTGCTGGACACAGAGGAGGCCCAGGGTGATGACCCTCTCGATGTTCAGGTACCTTATTTTTACAACAGAACATGGTTTGTGGTGGGGATTTTTTTTTTTTCTTGGAAACTTTAAATGTAATGGGATAATCTGGTTGGTGGGGATGGAGTGTGCTGCTGTTCTAGTGCATAACTGTCGTTTATGGTGTTGTTTCAGAGCCTGTCTAATTACATGGAGCAGTATATAGGGACAGAGTCTGTGTGCTCTCAGGCAGAAGGCTACTACTTCAAGCCTGTGTTTCTACCCAGGTAAAAAAAAAACATGTTTAACCTGCTCTGTTTATGCCTGTTATTTCCCTTTTTGTAGCTAGATTGTTAATAGTCAATTCCTTGTTTTAAAGGTGCAATGATTTTATTTTATTTCTTTTACTATTAATGTTTTTGGTCATTTGGAGGAGGGCCCAGGTCATGGTGTAGACAACAAGCCCAATACCACTTGGTTTCTCTCATAAAGTCCCTCATATTATCAGACACTAATGATTCTGTAATAAATTGGTTTCAGTGTGAAGTCATAGACTATGAAAGCTTGTTTCCGCCATGGAATAGAGCAATTTTAAAACATAACTGACCCTTTGCTAAGCCCCCTAGTTACTGTTGCTACGACTGTCAAGCTTTCGCGGCTGGCACATCTATTATAGTGTGGATGCACCGGTGTCAGACATTCCCAATGAGATAATAAGTAATTTTTTGGCGAACAAGTGAAATATCTGAGAGAGCAAGACAAAAGGGACTGCAGTATTTCATTCGAAAGATATATTCACGACATAATATGCATCCGATTAGAGAATAATTTCTTAAATTGAAGCTAAAGCCTAACGTTATAGTCCCAGCGCAACCAGCAACCGCCTCATATGCTGACCATTCAAAGGGGAAACACAAATTGAGGAACAGCTATGTTCATACACAGCAGGGTATGTGAAAATAATCCTAATAATTATAAATCAAACAGCTTATCCATAAATCTTGTGGAATAACTCTAATACCGGGAGAGCCGCGATCGGATTGGGTTAAAGTTACTTAGTCAGGGGTAACTTAACGTTAGTAGGACGTCGATTATCAAAATGCTGTCAGTGAGCCTTTGTCTTGTCTTTAATCGTCTTATTTTACGCTATATCATTATGACCAAAGAACCGTCAATATTTCCAAGAAATAGGTATTTTTGTTAACCATGTTGACATTTACCGGTAGTTGTGAATGTGTCTCCCACACTGCTTGATCACGGCCATCATTTCTCCTCTTGGCTTTTAGATTTTCTGAAAGAAAAACAATTCCTCTCCCCCGTCCAAAATTTTAGGATACCGGTATCAGATTTGCACAATCCATACGCACAATGCTTCAGCATGTTTCCCTCATTCGAAAGCTTGCCAGACCTCTCGCGCATAATTACGATTGCTAAGACATGATTGGCCAGTGGCGGTTTTCGGGCGTGGCTTAGTGAAGGGTCAATTGCGACTTTTAAATCTCACAATTCAGACTTTTTTTTTCTCCATCTCGCAATTATGACTTATTTTTCCTCCGAATTGCAAGTTTTAAATCTCACAAATCTGCCTTTATACCTTGCAATTGCGTGTTATTAAGTCAGAATTGCTAGATATAAACTCACAATTCGGAGAAAAAAAGTCAGAATTGTGAAAAGTTTCAAATACCTTTTTTAATTTGTGGTGGAAACAATCTTTTATACTAGACCACTGTTGCATAACTGTAAAAAAACGAGAATTGAAAGAAGTTTGACGTGTGTTCTGCTCCTCTGTGTGTCTCCCCTTTAGGAATCTGAGACATTTCCGCGGCTGGCAGCTCAAGCAGGTGGAAGCCATGCGCTGCCGGAGAGAGTGGCATCGGAAGATGGGTGTGGAGACAGCCGGGAACCTGGACTGCCGTTTCAAACTCAACACCCACAAGATGGTGTTCGTGATGAACTCCGAAGACTACATGTACCGCCGAGGAGCGCTGGTGAAGGCTCGGAGAGTACGTTGATCAAATAAAATACAAAAACAAATCCTGACCTTTTCTGTAGTCAATAAACATTTTTTATTCGAGCACCTAAAAATATTAACTGTTACCGACTCTGTAGTTTATTTATTCTTTATTGTGTCCCGTCTCTCTCCTAGTCCCAGCACAGAGTAGCACGGACTCAACACGAGCGCTTTGAACAGTGGCACCGGGGCTGGTTGAGCGATAACGTGTCCCCCGCCGCCGAGCGCAGCGTGCAGGACTGGCTCATGGGAGAAGAAGATGAGGACATGATCCCCTGCAAGACCACCTGCGTGTCCGTGCAGGTCAAAGGCTTGCAAGTCAACAGGTACCAGGTGCACTACAACAGCAAGGCCCCCGCCTCACCGTAACAACCTCAAGCCTTGGGATGGATTTTTGTGATCTCGTTCTCTCTTTGTCTCTTTCTCGCTCACTCATTCTCACGGCCGAGGTTAAACGTCACGCCGAACAGACGGGAGTGGTTTAAGGAGGACAGACAGCTGCTCAAAGGAGGGAATGCCTCATTGAAAAGCATCACATCTCGACACTAGTCCATCATGATCAATGCCGTTACCAGACGTTTCAGAAATGTGAATGTCAAACACTTTTCTTTTCCTTTTTTTAAGAAAGTCCATAGTAGTTTTTAGCTCCTGAAACCAGAGTTTTGTTTTGTTTATACTAAAGTATTGAGAGACTAGGTCTACAACATCTGTATGTCTTTTTTGTACAGTACAGTCGACTCAAGAGCTCGAGCAATTGCATATATACACAGCAGAAAGATTATTCTGTGTGCATTTTCTTGGCTATGAATGATGACTTGGACGAATTATGTTTCTCTGGCGCGCACTGGCATCTTATCCGTAACGTCCTCGTTTTGGTTCTGTTTTGTGTTCTTTGTTATCATCGTCTCTTATAACTGAACAGAGGATTGCCAGTGTTGCCCGTCAATCGCTGCTCATGATTTATAGTCGATTTTGTTACACATCCAGATCATGTATCATATCAATCTCGCCAAATCCTTGCTTTTGTTTGGTGTAATTTTTACATATTAAAACAGAAAAATGACAAAATATCAGTGTTTTGAAAAAAAAAAAAGAATGTATAACATTTATCCTGTATCAGTTATCACGAAATAAACAACCTAGTTGTGCAGTTCTTAAAGAACGGGTTATGATTCTTGCTGGATTCTCACCTTTGCATCAGTAAACTGTACATTTGGTACAGAAAGCCATATTATGTTTTTTTGGGGTTGTTACTTTTTAATAGTAATCTATCTATAGATACTATACTGTGAAAACCATATGTACATTTTTTTTTTATTATTATTATTTTCCTGATATTTATGTACATATATTATTTTCCTGGTATAAAATAATTTTGGTTGCACTTTTATTTTGTTACAGTGTTCTACAAATAAGAATGGAGCAATAATAATTAACAACATTAACTTGCTCTATAATTAGGGTTAAGTTGCTTAGTAATCACAGTAAATTATGCATAATTACATAGTAAGTATATGTAAGATATGTAACAAAGACGTAAAATAAAGTATGATCATTTTAATATGTATGTGATTAAAATAATTTAGAATATTGTTATTTAAAAACAATACAATATAAATAAAATATGGAACAACAAATACTAGCATGATACATGCATTTAATGATGCAGGAATTAAATACATTTTTTTATGTAGGAATTTTTTTTTTTTTATGGCCATAGTTAAAAACATTTATGTATGTCCTTTTTGTAAGGAATTGTGGGTGAATGTGCTTAATTTGAAAATGTCTCAATGCTAGATAGTTCTCAGCTAGCTTTATTTTGTTTTTCTGTTTTCTGGGTGAAATATCTTGACTGGGTTCATTATTTTCACCCAGAAATTGTGTGTGTATATATATATATTTATATGTAATTGCTAATTATAATTAGTATAGTATAATTAGCATTAATGAATTTGCTACAAATTAACTGCAAATTCATTAATGCACTATGATGAGTTGCACTATATATATATATGAAGAGTTCAGATGCAAAAGCCTCTAAATGCCATTTGAAATTTTCTTCTTTAATGATGATTTTTGTCAAACTTGTATATTTAAGTTCAGTAATTTCACTTAAATAACAATTAATAGGTAATTATCATTGCCATTTAAGTGAAATCACTGAACTTAAATATACAAGCTTGACAAAAATCATCATTAAAGAAGAAAATTTCAAATGGCATTTAGAGGCTTTTGCATCTGAACTCTTCATATATAAGTTTCCATAGAGCTCAAAAGTTGCAAGATAGCAGCTTTCAATTAGAGTTCAATCAAGTTCAGAACCCTTTCGCTTTTAAAGAGTGAAAAATATTTTTGCATTCTCTTTCTCTTTTTTTTTGTTCCTCTTTTTTTTTCCCCGAAAATTAATTTTAAAAGAGTGAGTTACTTGACATCTTAGGGCCAAATGTGTGCTTCTTCTTTCAGAGCTTATAAATAGACCCTGAGATGAACTGTAGATTTACTTCGGAAGGGGATTTGGCTCTTACAAGATCTGAAGTGAGTTTGCCTTGACTTCCCCAAAAGCAAGTGTAATTTATGTATAAGAAAGTACTTTTATACTATTTTTTTGTTGTTGTGATGACTTCTATTCTGTTCTAATCAAAACATTTGCTAAATTTAATTCCTTTTTGATTGAGTTTTGGCCCAGCAGGGGGTGTCATTTGCCAGTTGGAGGATGCACACTTGTGCGGTGGGTGTGGGTGGCCTTGAACGACAGAGTGAGAAAAAGAGAAGGCAGTGAAAAAAGGAAAAACGGAGAGTAAAATTGCTGCAGTCATGGACTTGCGCTCAGAACTGCTCAAGTCCATTTGGTACGCTTTCACCGCTCTAGATGTGGAGAAAAGTGGAAAGGTTTCCAAGTCACAACTAAAGGTGAGCTACAATTTCATTAATGTACTATGATGAAACTTTAGGATGCTGAAAAAATGGGTTTCCACACAACTCTCAGACCTCAAGGTCTTAAAAATGTATTCCTTGATCCGAGAGTGAAAAAGGATTCAATGAATTATATATATATATTTTTTTTTTCCTTCCTTTGTCATGCTTTAAAAATGCCATATACTTGCTTTAACTGCTTGCGATGTGTTTCCTGTGTGAGCAAATCATCATATGCCACATGGTGAACCTGCTGAATATCTGGGTCACAGGTTTTCATTTTCAAATGCTCATTATAAAAGCAGCAAAAAAATGTCTTTTTCTCATGCATTTTAAAAAGCAAATTATGCCTGATCTCATAGGGCTTAAGGTTTCTGAGATTTACTGGTGCTTTCTTGTTTAGTTTTACAAAAATGTGTATTCATCAAGCTAATTATACTGCAATACACCTTATGTTTGTACAGACGCTGGCTTTGCATGGATGTACAGATTGTTGCTTAAGTTTAGTCCCATGATTAGGTTTAGTCCAGTCCATATTTTCAGATTACCAGCTATAATGGGTCATCTCTAACCAAATGGGGTATTGTGGGTCTGAAGTGGTTAAAAGGGCTCAAACTGATCAACTGAATCTTCAGCTTTGAGAACGGTGGCCACCGGATGTGTGCTGTGAGAGCAGACTCTTTGTTTGATCTACTCATCTCTCAGCTCTGTCATTTTCAAAGAAACATTTAGAGAAGTTCCTAAGCAAAGTTAGAGAAGTAATGCAATGTAGCTCTTCTGTTGTCGGAAGGGGTTTCGTGATGCTGTGGAATCTAACAGCAAATCATTTGCCTGTTAAAAGCATTAATCAGTACATAAATATGACTTATTATACCAGTATCATGAATTCAGTCAAACCTCTGAGAGCTGAGAATGCTAATATTTCTACCTATTGTTTGCCTCATTTCAAGATAAGTTGATTTTTGCATGTCTTTTGCATTCTTTTCTAATTGTGTAAGGCTGAATGGATCTAAAAGCATCAATGAAATCCCCTGTGATGTTTTGTGTATTTATGACCATTGGTGTATGTTAAGATGTGTGCTGTTGCTCTGCAGGTCTTGTCTCATAATCTTTACACAGTTCTGGGGATCCCGCACGATCCGGCGGCTCTCGAGGAGCACTTCAGAGACGATGACGACGGTCCCGTGTCCAGTCAGGGATACATGCCCTACCTCAATAAATACATTCTGGACAAGGTGCACAGCCTTACTATACATTCCCGTACACTGTAGTAGACATTTTGTTTAGATACCCAGGCTTTTTGTCATTCTTTTCAAGACAATATGTTTGTTCATTTCTATAAAGGTATAAATATTCCTCCAGCACTCAACTTTTTGTTTTTGTTTTTTTGTATATGTTGTGTTGGCTGATATGGCGTTCATCATGATAAACTCAGGCAACCTGACATCAATGATTTATCATTAACATTCTTGCATTTCTTGATGCTATAGTTTTTGACTTGAGAGTTTGTTTCCTCTCTGTAAGGTGGTGGAAGGCACATTTGTCAAAGAAAATGTGGATGAGCTGTGCTGGACTCTTACTGCCAAGAAGAACTACAGACCCGAGGGAAAGAGCATTTTACCTGGAAAAGACGCCTTCCGGCTCTGGTGTCTGTTCATATTTCTATCGGAGGACAGATATCCACTGGTCATAATCCCTGATGAGGTGAGATTCATGTTTTCTCAGTACCTAAAATAAACATCTTATTTGTCATTTAGATCCCGAGGCCCGAGGCATTTGCCAGGCCCGAACCTCTGATTAAGATCAGTTTTCAGAAGCATTAAAGGAGTAGTTCATTTAAAAAAAATAAAAAATTGCTGATAATTTACACACCTCCATGTCATCCACGATGTCCATGTCTTTCTTTCTTCAGGCAAAAAGAAATTAAGTTTTTTGATGAAAACATTCCAGGATTTTTCTCCAAATAAAGCACTTTACTGGTAACCAAACGATTCAAGGTCCAAAAAAGTGCAGAGTTTCAGTGCAAAATGCAAACTGTTCAAAGGGCTTTAAATGATTCCAGACGATGAATAAGGGTCTTATCAAGCGAAACGATTGGTAATTAAAAAAAAAAAAGTTTAATTTTTATAAGCTCAAATTCTCTCCTTGCTCTGTTCTGTGTGACTCTCCTGTCCGAACTCGTTCATCAAAATGAACAAATCTTTTTCCGAGTCAATTCGTTCATTTCGTTCGTTGAATGAACCAAATGACTTAAAAAGTTTTGTTCATTTTGATGAACGAGTTCGAACAGGAGAGTCACGAACGCGCATCACAAAACAGAGCAAGGCGACCATTTGAGATATAAAACTTTATTTTTTTCCTAATTTTTTTAAAATGAGCAATCGTTTCACTGGATAAGACCCTTATTCATTGTCTGGAATCATTTAAAGCCCTTTGAATAGTTTGCAGTTTGCATTGAAACCTTGAACCGTTTGGTTCCCCTTGAAGTCCATTAAATGGAGAAAATCCTGGAATGTTTTCATCAAAAACCTTAATTTCTTTTCGACTGAAGAAAGAATGACATGGACATCTTGGATGACTAAAGTTTTTTTTAAAGTGAACTACTCCTTTACATAATCCCATCAGTACACAGTCTTTCTATGCAGTACAAGATGTTTCTTTACCAGGAAGGCTTAAATATCTGTGGGGTATTTTGAGCTAAAACTTCACAAACACACTTTGAGGACATCAGAGACATATTTTACATCTTGTGAAAAGGGAATTATACCACCTCTTTAACAGTGTAAAAATGCCTCAGAAATGTGAACCTAGTTCTGAGAAAAGTTGTAACATCGTTTATTTCCAGATTCCTCTTTGTCTAACATTTAACAGTTGTAAGTGTTCCTTACAAATACACCTAAAATAGTTTTAGGGCTACTATATCCTTAAAAGTAGAATGTTGTTGTACTGTTGTCTGTCTCTTGACTCTGAGAACTTTCTTGAGTGTAAATCACATCAGACGCCTGTAAACCTGCTGCTAACCACAGGACCACCATTTACTATATGCTATTTTCATTTTTTCCACTTCAACCGAAACTGGTAATCGTCAAAACCCCTGCAGGTTTTTCAGGTTTTGATAATCATACTGCCAAATCTGCTTTTAGTCCATCATGTTCATCTTTATTTTGTTTACTTTTCATTGTGAACGGCACAACTCTGCCAATACATGCATGTATGCTTTAAATAGCTTTTGTCAGGAAGCAAGGGTGATGTTGGTGTCAGTGGGAAGATGTCAGAGCTGCTTCTTTAGTCTATTTATTTTGTGATTTTTTTTATTTTTTTTTCTCTCTCTTTTTTATATGTTTGTGCTGAATGTGTGTGTTTCCCACCGCCCTTGTGCTGTTTCTTCTCTTGCAGCTTGGTTGATTTCCTGTGCTCCGTTTTGCAACTGTTGGTAAAATCATAATGTAACTTGTGACAGTTTCATAGAAGAGAAGTAAGAGAGAATAGAGTAAAGACATCTTGGTGCTTCGTAGCTGCCATACAATTGTAATAATTTCAGTATTAAAACTAACAAGCGTTTGCATTGTGCCTGTTTGAATGTGGTATTTTAGGTCGGTTGGTAAGTGCCCAACTGCAGCATCAGATAGCTGCTCTTATCTTCACAGAATAACACGAAAATATATTTTTTTTTTTTTTCACAGGTTGAATATTTACTCAAGAAGATATGCATGGCCATGAGTGTTGAGCTGAACCTTGTTGAACTCGAGGACTTCATTTCCCAGGATTCTGTTCAGCAGAATGGCTTCTCTGTATGGGCCTTTCTGGAGATGATGAATTCTGGGAAACTAACGAGGGGCATTGTCAAGGAAACTATCAGCATGGCAATAGAGGAGGTGTACCGGGAAATAGTGGGTGATGTGCTGAAAGAGGTATTAGCATTATCTATTTATATTAGCCTTATTTAATAATCTTTTTTGTGTGTGTGACTTTGTTCCCCTTAAATTGTGAAAACCCAACGCGTGTATGAATGAAGTCTGTTTATGAATAGAAAGTTAAAAAGAACAGCATTTATTCATAATGTATTTTTTGTAACCGTGTGAGTCTTTGTGAAATCCTGAATATATTGTTATTAGCCTGAATATATATATATATATATATATATGAAGAGTTCAGATGCAAAAGCCTCTAAGTGCCATTTGAAATTTTCTTCTATAATGATCATTTTTATCAAGCTTGTATATTTAAGTTCATTAATTTGACTTAAATGGGAATGAAGATTACCTATGAATTGTCATTTAAGTGAAATTACTGAACTTAAATATACAAGCTTGATAAAAATGACCATTCTAGAAGAAAATTTCAAATGGCACTTAGAGGCTTTTGCATTTGAACTCTTTATATATAGTTACAAATCTGAATATATAAATATAAATCTGAATATGCAGTTATACGTTTGAATATATTAATGGAAATATCGAATATATATATAGTAATAATAAGTCAGAATATATAGTTATAACTCTGAATAAATGTAAATACTGAATATATAGTTATAAGTCAGGATATATATATATATATATATATATATATATATAAATATTTTATCTTGAATATATAAGGGCCTGAATTTTTGTGCATGATTGTGGGTTTTGCACCTAATTTTAGTCATTCTTACAAGTTCCGTGCTTGTAATGTGTTAAATTCCTGCAAATAATTATTAGCATGCAGGTTGAAAGAGTAAACTAATTCATTCAGATGAACAGAGCAAATCAGTCATTTTAAATCCTGCTGTCAGACTAATTAATCATTGCAACCACATCTTCCCTCTCTCTTGGATTTCAGTGTTCATGTGCAACGTGCTGTATGTAAATGTATATGTGTGCTAAATAAAAAAAAGGATCTACCAGCCGCAGTTGATTTTGATATCCTAGGTATTATTAACTGGTTTTGTGACTTTCTCACAGTTCTGATTCTGTTTCTCAACGATGGTGAGACATAAACTGGCAATTGTGAGTTATAAAGTCAAATTGTGAGATGTAAACTTGCGATTGTGAGATAAACATTATACCTTTTTTTTTCATTCTGTGGCGGAAAGAAGTGTCCATACCTTCATGTTCATTACGGTCACAATTCTGGGCAGTTAAGAATACCTGGGATAACAAAATCACTTTTCTTGATTTGCACTCAAATACGTGAGAACGCACTTTACACACAGATATAGTGAATAATAGTTTAAAAAAGAATTTAGCACATTATTATCATGGAACTCATGGGACCGCTGTGCTAAAATTCAGCCCCTAAACAATACATGTATTTATATATTTAGGATTTATAAATCTTTATAACTATGTATATTCAGATTTACATGAATATATTCAGATTTCTATTTATATATTCAGATTTGCATCTATATATTCAGGCTCAGATTTATATATTCATGATTTACATATAATTATTTCCTGTTTGCGTCCCCCCCATTGTGTGTGTGTATATGAAGAGTTCAGATGCAAAAGCCTCTAAATGCCATTTGAAATTTTCTTCTTTAATTATGATTTTTATCAAACTTGTATATTTAAGTTCAGTAATTTCACTTAAATGGCAATGATAATTACCTATTAATTGTTATTTAAGTGAAATTACTGAACTTAAATATACAAGTTTGATAAAAATCATCATTAAAGAAGAAAATTTCAAATGGCATTATGAGGGTTTTGCATCTGAACTCTTCATATATATATCTCAATCTCACGCACCAATGACACATTAGAAAACACACACACACACACACATATATATATATATATATATATATATATGTGTGTGTGTGTGTGTTTTCTAATGTGTCATTGGTGCGTGAGATTGAGATTCAAAAATATGCTGTGCTTCCTGACAACAGGGATATCTGTGGAAGAAAGGTCAGTTGAGGAGAAACTGGACCGAGCGTTGGTTCACCCTGAAACCCAGCACTTTAATTTATTTCTCCAGCGAGGACCGCAAAGATCGCAAGGGCAACATTCAGCTAGACGGAAACTGCTGTGTAGAGGTAGGGTATGGGTGTCTGTGTTAGCATGTTAGCATGTGTTTGTTATTAGAAATAAAAAAAAAAACAGCATTATTCTATATTGGTATAGTATTAGTGCTACCTCTTAAGAATGCATAAGAGACTCTAGAAAGGAACTTGTCTGCATAATTAGTTCATTATTGACATTGTGGGTAGTGGGTTATGTTTCCTCTCTCTGGCCATTAACACACAATTCAAAGTGAACGTTTCCTTCTGTGGTGGTCACAGCCGTGTGTGTAATACTTCTCTGCTGTGTTTTTAAGGTTCTTCCTGACAGAGACGGGAAGAGGTGCATGTTCTGTCTGAAGACGCTCACCAAGACTTATGAACTTAGTGCATCTGACACCAAACAGAGGCAGGAGTGGACTACAGGTCTGCATGAGATATGATTTGGCTTTTTGCTCATTCGTCAGGTATTCTGTTTGTTTGGCCTCAAATGTGACTGTAAATTATAAGGATAGTTTAAAGATGTTTATTTCCCTGTTGTCTAGTTTCCCTCGATTCAAGAGGCACTTTGTTCATTCTGGGCACTTTTCACTGATATTTACAATTGGCCTTTGTTGTTGTATAACCTTTAAATGCATTATTGAAAAAAAATGTAAACAGTGAGAAGATGTCACTGTGGTTTTCTGCTGAAACACCCTTTGTCAGTGGAAACCTGTGACATTTTGAGGGTTGCATTTTTGCAAATTCTAAATTGAAACTCCACAGAGAAACCTTTTCTTGAGAGGTGGGATTGAATTTACCTAGCCTTTACTTGGTGAATCAGATTATCAGATTATTGGGGGTGGGCTTTATTTTAGGTCAGTGAGAAATCCCCAATCAACCATCCACTATAGCAGCACAAGAATTTAACATTTTGCGTTTCTATTTCTTTTCTGCCAGCTATCCAGACAGCCATCCGGCTGCATGTGGAGGGTAAGAAGTCTCTTCATAAAGACCTGAAGCTGAAGCGGCGTGATCAGCGGGAGCAGAGGGAGAAGAGGCGGGAGGCGAAAGAGCAGGAGCTGCAGCGTTTGCGGGCCCTGCAGGAGGAGCGCGAGAGGAAGATGGCGGAGCTGGAGCTGCTGAAGGAGGCGCAGAGACAGGCACAGGCACTGCTGGAGCAGGACGAACTCCGGAGGCGACAGCAGCACGAACAGCTCCAGCAGGCCCTGGAGATCCAGCTCAAAGAGGCTGAAGAGGTGAGGATCTGTCTATCCATCAGTCTGACAGTGTCATTCTGTCTATCTCTGTCTATCAGTCTGACAGTGTCGTTCTGTCTATCTCTGTCTATCTGTCTGACAGTGTCGTTCTATATGTCTGTCTGTATGTCATTCTATCTGTCTGACAGTGTCGTTCTGTCTGTCTGTCTGTCTATCTATCTATCGTTCTTCTATCATTCTGTCTATATGCCGTCTGTCTCTCTGTCTGTATGTCATTCTATCAGTCTGTCTATCTGTCTGACAGTGTCGTTCTATCTGTCTTTCTATCTATCTGTCAGTCTGACTCCGTCATTCTATCAGTCTGTCTATCTGTCTGACAGTGTCGTTCTATTTATCTGTCTATCTATCGTTCTGTCATTCTGTCTATTTGTCTGTCTGTGTCATTCGATCAGTCTGTCTATCTGTCTGACATTCTTGCTAAATCTGTCTGTCTATCTATCTATTGTTCTATCATTCTGTCTGTCTGTCTGTATGTCGTTCTATCAGTCTGTCTATCTGTCTGACAGTGTCGTTCTATCTATCATTCTGTCTATCTGTCTGTTTATATGTTGTTCTATCAGTCTGACAGTGTCGTTCTACCTATCTGTCTATCTACCGTTCTATCATTCTGTCTGTCTGTCTGTACTGTATGTTGTTCTATCTATCTATCTGTCTATATTATTCTGTCTATATTGTTCTATCTATCTATCTGTCTATATTATTATGTTTTAATTATTCTGATTTCTTTTGATTATTTTAATTTCTTCTATGTAAAGCACTTTGAATTGCCATTGTGTATGAAATGTGCTATATAAATAAACTTGCCTTGCCTTGCCTATATGTCGTTCTATCAGTCTGTCTATCTGTCTGACACTGTTGTTCTATCTATCTGTCTATCATTCTGTCTGTCTATCCATTTATTCTGTGTGTTTGTTTGTCTGTCTGACAGTCGGTCGTTCTATCTATTGTTGAATCCATCATTCTATTTCACTTTTTCTCGAAACTATCAAACAAGGCTTTTGTCAAATCATCATTCACAATTTGTCCTGACAAACTGAATATTACAATGATGAATTTGTTCGTTTTATTTCTACTACATCATATTTAAAGGGTTAGTTCACCCAAAAATGAAAATTAAGTCATTAATTACTCACCCCCATGCTGTTCCAACCCCGTAAGACCTTCGTTCATCTTCGGAACACAAATAAAGATATTTTTTATTGAATCTGAGAGCTGGATCAGTCCTATATAGACTGTCTAAGGGACTGGCTCTTGACGGCCCATAAAGTCATTAAAGAAAAGGTTTAAATATTCCATGTGCCTACAGCGGCTCAATTATAAGTTTATCAAGCGACGAGACTACTTTTTGTGCGAAAAAAACATAAATAACGACTTTATTCCACTATTCCATTACTTCCTTATGGGCGCATGCGCGACAACTGAGACGAGGACGTTCTCATTCGTCAACTTTTTGTTACCGGCTGCTCACCGCTTAGGAGTTTTACCGCCACCTACCGTATAAAATGATGATCCATATATAAGGCGCTCCGGATTATAAGGAACACTGTCGTTTTTTGAGAAGATTAAAGGCTTTTAAGTGCACAGCGCGCATCTTCCTCTGCTTGTAAACAGAAAGTTTTGCGCTTCCAGCTATATCAGCACATCATCTTATACGGTAGGGGGCGGTAAAACTCCTAAGCGGTGAGCAGCCGGTAACAAGAAGTAGACGAATGAGAACGTCCTCGTCTCAGTTGTCGCGCATGCGCCCATAAGGAAGTAATGGAATAGTGGAATAAAGTCGTTATTTATGTTTTTTTTTTCGCACAAAAAGTAGTCTCGTCGCTTGATAAACTTATAATTGAGCCGCTGTAGGCACATGGAATATTTAAACCTTTTCTTTAAAGGAGCAATGTGTGACTTTTAGCGACATCTAGTGGTTCGGTTGCGAGTTTGCACCAGGTTTGCACTAAGGGCTCCGCCCACTGCTCACCCCTCCCTTTCGAAGAAGCTACGGTTGCTAAAACGGGACAAACAACTCGTCGGCTGAGACAGCAGAGAATAGCCAGAGTAAGCCAAGAGTGTGTAACATTGTTACTGTTTCTGTACCACAGTCCATTATAAACCACATCATGAATACTGTCTGTTTACAAAGCCATAGTCAGGTGAGGATCAAGGGTTTTAATATATAATTTAATAAAATAATAATCAGCTGATTGTCTCACAAACGTAACCAGCAGCACATTTCTCCCCACATACTGTAGCAAACCCATAATACAGCGAGGGAGCAGCTATATATTTTTTCTAACAGGGTAGTAATAGTTTAGCTGGCTAATATGAGCTGTTACTGTGGCTGAGCTGGGACGCGTCTGCATGAGTCCAAAGGTCGGAAGTGCGCGCGCTGTTACAATCATGTCATCTCTGCATCCCATAGATACTATTTACTACACACAATAGGCTTTTTTTCTCTGATTTTTAAAATTCTTCGCGATCGACTTTAGTGATAAAAGACTTTAGTAAAAGTCTCTATCGACGGGTTAGTGATTCCTGTAACGTACTGTTTTACGGTCAATGACATGAATACTAATCATCAGCTGTCTCACGAACGTAACAGCACATATATCCACAACATAACAAACCCATAACACAGCGAGGGAGAACTAAGTTACATGAAACAATCCCAACTACATATTTTACACCACTCACAAGGGAAAAGTCACTACTCACGGAGTGTAAGGCTAGCTTCCAGCTTTCCGCTACTTCTCTTTCAAGGTAGTGATGAAACGCGTTCTGTAGCGCTGTTTGTTCGCGTTCGGCTACGGTAGGAATATGACGTCACAACATGGCGACCTTCATAGAAGGGGATTCCCTCGGTTATGGAGCTATTAATGTCTCATTCTAAGGTAATAAAAACATTACGGCTAATTAAGTAAGTTCTTTATACACCACTGAAAACATAGTTATGGATGTCATATTGCATTTCTGTTAATAGATACTCAACTTTGTTACACATTGCACCTTTAATGACTTTATGGGCCGTCAAGAGCCAGTCCCTTAGGCAGTCTATCTAGGACTGATCCAGCTCTCAGATTCAATCAAAAATATCTTTATTTGTGTTCCGAAGATGAACGAAGGTCTTACGGGGTTGGAACAGCATGGGGGTGAGTAATTAATGACTTAATTTTCATTTTTGGGTGAACTAACCCTTTAAAGTCTTAATCATGTTTGTTTAGCTCAATTTAAATTCAGTTCAAGAACTAAATTGTAATTGTTAAAGCATTCTAAATTAATTTCTGATATATAGATGGATAAAGATAAGAGTGTTTGTTTGTGTGCAGGCACGGGCGAGCATGCAGGCAGAGATGGCACTGAAGGAGGCCGAGGCTGAGAGACAGAGAACACGAATCAAAGAACTGGAGGACATGCAGCAGCGGCTAGAGGAGGCTTTACAACAGGAAATCAAAGCCAGGCAGGACGAAGAAGCCTTCCGCTACGCACAAGCTCGGTGAGCAGCAGCACGCAAACTCTATTGAGCAATACACCCGTGCTCAGTTTCACCCACAAACACCCTGATGTTATAATAATATGCTTTTGAATGGCAGACTATTTGGTGCCCTATTTGCCTTTTATATGTCTCATCAGTACTCTTCAGGGAAGAAATATAATAGTTTAAAAGCTCTCCCCTGTTGTATTGCATGTTAATTAATCAAGAGGAAGTTACTAGAGGAAGTAATGGACAGAAGATACTCAATTTACAAACATTTTTGTCCAGAGAAATGGATATGTGTATATACTCTGAGAGGAAAACTAAATCCTGTTTCAAATTCAGTAAAGACAATGAGACACTACTTCCGTTTCAAATCTATTCACTATACGATACAAGCATGCAAAATGCCATTGTAAACAAAATACTTCTGATGTCTGACACAGTTGGAATAGCAATACACAGTTGAATGCACAAGACTGAGACCACATTGAAGTTTTGGGATTCTGGAAAGATGGAGTGTATAATTAATGAGGATTATTTAAGATTCTGCAGTATTTCTAGGTCACAAATGAAATGAAAAAGCAAATTTGTGACACTGATCATGCGTCTCCTTTGTACAAAGGATCAGATGTTCTTGAAGCGCAGAATGCTCTCTGGATCATTCTCAAATCATGCTGGAGAACATGGATCATAGAAATTAGTATTAATTTTTCAATTCATTATGCTGATAACATGAATATATTTTTGAACGCACGAGTCTCTTTTAGCTTGTGTTGTGTTTGATCATTCGCTCCTTCATTGTTACAGGCTGCTGGCTGAGGAAGAGGAGAAGATGAAGGCCCTCATGTCTCTCCGTGAGGAGCAGGAGGAGTATATCCAGCGAGCCCAGCGGGAGAAACAAGAGCTCAGAGAGGAAATGGAAAGCAAGTCTCGATCTCTGGATGAGGCACAGAAGCAGCTGGAGGAGGTCAGGGCCAATCGCTACCGAGTGGACCAGGATGTAGTGGTGAGTTTCTCTACGGTGATTTGTCTGACAAAAGTTTTTAATTTTAAAAAAAAATAAAAGTACCATTAAAAGATTGTGGGCGGTACATTTTTTTAATGTTGATTGATACATTAATATTGTAAATATTGCGTATTTAAATAACCGTTTTCTATTTTAATATATTTTAAAATGTAATTTATTTCTGTGTGAATTTTCAGCATCATTACTCCAGTCTTCAGTGTCACATGACCCTTCTAATATGCTGATTTGCTGCTCAAGAAACATTTCTTATTATTATCAATGTTGAAAACAGGTGTGCTGCGCAATATTTTTGTTGAAATGTGTTAGATTTTTTGATGAATATAAATATATAAAAATATGAATATATTAAAAAAAGCATTTATTTACCATAGAAATCTTTTGTAACATTATAAATGTCGTTATGGTCACTATTGATTAATTTTATTGTGTCCTTGCTGAATAAAGTATTAATTTCTTACAAGCAAAATTTAAATGTTACTGACCCAAACTTTTTAATGGTAGTGTTTGCGTTAGTAATATTAATAGGGTAACACTTTTCAATAACTTCCTATTAGTTAACAATACATTATTTAATGAGTACATTTACTACAGTATCAATTCATTTTAGTTAAATTAAATTAAAATTAAAATGTTAGTTCAGGCCCATTAAATATTAATTTAGAGGTACAACATTTGATTTTATTGATGTAATAGTGAGTTGCATTTAACATGAATCGAGTTTAATAAATGCATTAGTGCTATTTTTAAATGTTAGTGTATGTAGCCTACTAATGTAGTTAACAAATGAAACCTTATTGTAAAGTGTTATATTACCAGTCAATTGATGTGCTAATGCTGATATTAGCCGTTTATGTATATGTAATTGTTGTGGAAATTGTCAAATCAACTAAACTAGCTGATTGATTGATTGATTGATTTATTGATTGATTGGTTGATCTTAATCTTTTTGTATCCTGGCAGGCTGCTCAAAGGAAGCTTCGTCAGGCCAGCACCAATGTTAAACATTGGAACGTTCAGATGAACAGATTGATGCATCCTATTGGACCAGGAGGTATGTATATCAACTAATTTACCCATATTTCAAGACGCAAAACGCAGTCCATCTCACACTGTTTACCTTTAGCAAGACCATAACCTCATCAACTTGAATGCTCTATGGTTTGAATTTGACTGATGCTAAATATTATTTTAGACTTAATCTTCTTTACATCAAGATTTTTGTTAAACTTTTGAATGAGTGATGTCTGCATCACTCGTTTTCACTGCAGTTTCAGAGATTAAAAAAAAAAATCCCCCTTCCTTACTGTTAAACATGTATACTGATTTCACAATCAATCGACTCTCTGTAACTTCCCTGTATATTCTGGCCTTGTTTTCATGTAGAAAAAAGGTCCTCAGGAGGTGGGTCTTTTTCCAGCTTTCGCATCCCTTCACAGAAGGATCCAGGACTACGTCTGAAGCAGAAACCGGATGACCAGGATGAGGAAGGCAAAGAAAACATGGAAACCAGGGGAGGGTGTGAATCCGACAAGCGTTTGTCTACAAACGGAGACATGGACATACCTTAACATTGAGAAAAATATTTTTTATTTTGCTGTTAAGACTGATTTGAGTGAAAGGTGCCAAGAGCTCATGCCGTTAAAAACGCCATGCTTTTTAATATTCTCATTATTTGTTAATAGCTTGTTAAACTGTAATGTTTTTGTACACTGTCACATGTTTTACAAGTATTGTACTGTAGTTGTTAATTATCTGATTGACTCAAAGCTTTATGTAGACTAAGATGTACACTGAATAAATATTATGCATTTTTCAAGATGTTTTATTGTGCTGAATTTAAAAAAGGAACTGAGGGTATAATTATTAGCATACGAATGTGTTCATTTTAACAGAGACAAAAAAGATCTGCAAATGTTCATGCATGTGAATGGGATTTCTTGTGAGGGAGGAACAAGTTGAAGAGCTGAAGCGTCTGTGGTTTTGAGAACTTCCTGCTTCTGCCGTCAGATAAAAAAACCCATGAAGACAACTGCATGGCACACACATGTTCCTTATAGACGTAGATTTATCTGTGCCTTATAGATATAGCTATTCACCAAGTGTGCCTACACAGAGGAAATTTGGGTTTGTCACAGAAACATCCGGTACTCAAAGAATATTAATCTAAAAAACAAGACAGAATAGTATGAGTTATGGGTCAGTACAGATATGATATAAATGTCAAATCCGATATAAAAAATAGTGAGCTAAATATTAATGTATATCAAAAATAAATACGGCACAGACATTTTATAATGCATGAAGTGGAGCTATTACTCGGTTGTTTTTAAAAATGTAGTACACAAAGCGTTTCCAAGAATAGCCAATCAATCAGATGTTATTTTTCAAAGCTGATTTTGCCGATAGTATCAGAACCAGATTAGATTGGTGAAACAGAGACACCTGCTGTTTACCAATAGCTCTTGTGTTATGATACACCCGGGACACTAGACGGCGGTAAGATCCCCAGCAAACCGATACAACCACATTTTAACCCGGAAAAAAATAACCTAGATAGAACAGAAGCTGTCTCGAAACAGCTTCTAGGTACAGAGAAAGCGGTGGAAATGGCTTCACGCCTGAGCCGAATTTGGCCCACCCTGTCCCGGGTTCGTTTGAGCTCGGCGCTCGGGAGCCGCTGTGTGTCCCAGACGCCGAAGTCCAGCGCGTCCGGCGCGGCGGTTGCATCTGATCTGCAGCCCTTATCTCCGGCTCAGGACAGTCATGGACACACAGAGGTCAGCCCGTTTGACAAGGTAAGACGAACACAAACATGATGTATGATGCATGGGAACTAAATAACATTGGGTTAATTAGTGGCTTGAATTATGTTAAGCGGCTCACTCAAGTCTTTCTCTAAACTGAAGTTTGACCTAACGTTAACGTTCATCTTTACACTGTGCACTGCATGATCTCAAGTCCGTTTTCTCGTGTCTTTCTTGTTATAATATGTTTTTTATTATGTTTAAACCTCTATCTGCTAAAGGTTCGACTTTTTTTTATTCCTCTAATCTGTCCTATCCTTTCCTATTCTGTTAAATGGATACTCCACCTCAAAATGAAAATTCTGTCATCATTTACTCACCCTCGAGTTTTTGCAAACCTGTATTGCAAACTAGTGATTTGTGTTGATAAACAATTATTATAACTTGTTTACATCCATAAACGCAGGTTTAAATTGTGTATTTTCAGAATCCAGATTTCCATGGCTTCCATCATTCTGACCCGTTTGTGGATGAATGGAACATGAGATTGGCCTTTTTCTTTAGCATTTCTGTGGTCATTGTAATCGGAGGCACTTTCGTCCACTATTTACCAGATCACGGGTAAGTTCATAAATAAACTGACTGAATTTTGCACGAATCCAGTGATTGACCAATCAGGATCCACAATAGATACAGTGCATATTTATTGTGTGATGTTTAGTAAAAAGGTTGGAGCATAGAATATCTAGACTATCTGTGTGAAGAGGAACGTAAAAAAAAAAGTTTATTTTTATGCTTGACAAAAAGGTGCTCTTAATATGTCATTGTAATTTTATTCTATTTCTATCTTGGCCTACCTGCAGTAGTGGCTGTTGCTATGTTTCACCCTTTTCACTTGAAACAGGCCTCTACTTCTGGTCAAAAAAGATCTCTGCCCCCTGCCATCACACACACACACTCACATACCAGGGGCAAAAATTTACTGGGGCAAAAATGGCACCAAAATTAATACAAATGCTTCCAAAATCCAAGTTATGGTGCAAAAAAAAAAGAGTCTGTGTATAAGTTCTTTGTTTCTGATATTTATAACCAATATCTTGAGCAAACATGCTTTTTTTTCCAGAATATCAGCACGTCTGCAAATGTGATTTTTACAACAATTCAATGAACAATGACTTAATAGGCTATAGAGTGCCGAAGTTACAACGTCACTCTGTAGGCCAAAACGCGGAAGTGAGTTAGCATTTTAGCATTACGGTTCCCTCGCTCTAAAGCCAATGGGATTTTTGAATGGATTTTTGCTAAATCGCCTGAAATAAGGTCTGTGGTGAACAAAGCCTCTAAATGTTTTCACGTTTTGATCTATGACATAGAACACACAGTTATAACCTGCTTGTGGTTTTTTAAACTTTATTGTGTTTTTTTAAATCTTTATATAGGCTTCAAAATGTATAAATTTTGAATTAACTTGTAAAGATTATCTTGCTAGACAAAACGTGTAAGGGTCACAACTCTTTGTTGAACACAGATCTTATTTTTTGCGATTTTTCCAAAAGTCTATGGGGAAAATGCATTGCTTTTCGACCAAGGGAACCCATGCGCCACTAGCTTCCGAGTTGTCCTACAAAGTGACGTCATCACTTCGGCACTCTATTAGGTGACTTACATTTTACACCCTATGTTGTCTGTTTATCCTCTATTTTGCCAATGAAACAGTTCCAAATAGTAGAGCCGTTGCATGTCTCTGAGCAACAGAGTTTCAGTTTCATTACTGAATGAATCTGAGTTTTCTGAACAAATCAATTTAATGAATGACTTTGTTCCTTACTGAATCAGCCATTTTGAATGAATTGATGGGGGTCTGACTGTTTCTTTAAAAACAGGCCTCCGAATTGTAAAGGCCGCCTCTGTTAATTGGTTGATAATTGGGTTCAGCAATAATGATTTGCCTTTTTCTTTTAATCATAATGTACATGATCTGCCTCTCTCTGTTTTTATGCTCCAGGATGAGGGGGTGGGCTCGCCGGGAAGCTGAAAGGTTGATCAAACAGCGGGAAGCTGAAGGTCTTCCCCTCATGACTGAAAACTATTACGATCCAAGCACGATTGTTCTCCCATCCTCTGAAGAGGACTAGACAACATCTTGTCAAAAATTATCCTGTTCATTTGTGTTGACTGTACATTTGACTCTCCTCAACTTTATCTTAATAAAAACAAAGTTATAATAAAGCAGTATGTGATATTTTCAAATTGTGATCAGTTGGTATATCTAATGATACTGTAGAATTAACGGTTTGTTTGCAAACATGGGTGTAATAATAAAGTTGAGTGTTAATGTATGTTGTTTTATGTAATGATTATTATTTGATAGTGCACTATGAACAGTGTGTACGGTTAATTAGAGAGAGCCAAAGTATTTATATGATGTACAAAACAACTGAAAGTAGGTGTTATGTGGTGCAGTTTTATGCATGTAAACTCAGAAAACATAAGAAACTAGGATGTGGATTAGTCAGGAAGATGAATGATCACAAACAGTCATTTTAGTTACTTTCCAACTGTTATTTATTTAGTAATGTATTCATCTGTAGCTTTATTTCAATTGTCGATTTTCATAAGAAAGTAGAATCGTGAATGATGATGTTTTCAAAACAAAATTCTTAATGAATAATTTAAATTAATTTTTAAAAAGTAATAAATTAACGAATCAAACAAAATAGCAAAGCAGTGACAAGGATATATAACCTTAACATTAGTATCCTCTAAAATGACACTGTTTCAGGAATATATCATATTTTTATTATAAGTTAAATTACATTAGAGAAGAACGGAAAAGGCGAAAGATATGTTGCTGTTCTTCTGCTTTTGGACGTCTCTGCCTCTTGATTGGTGGAAACGATCATGAATGGGCGTGTCTTAGCGGCGTGGCACAGTCTGCGGGGCGGGGCCTTGGGGTCGTACAGGAAAAGATAAAGAAAGCGAGGACAGCTGTAACGAAAACGGTAAATACGCATACAAAAACACCTCTGGTACTTACAATCGATATTTTCATTGATTTCCCAAACGGTCTAGAGACAATATTGCCGAGTAACCTTTTTAAAACCACTCCATTTAGTAGAATTATGCCTTTTATATGCGGCTAGCTCAATGCTAATAGGCTAAGTGTGATGATGACGGAAACGGACGAACAACAAGATGCCGAACATGAGTTTATAATCGTATTAAAGTCCGATTATCAAGATCGTAACACGTCTGGAAAGGCTAATACAAGTGTTGATTTGTGGATCCAGTCGAATCCAAGCCAAATTGTGCTAATGATACACTTATTAGGGCGTGATATGAGGCGTCCCAGTTAGCATAGGGAGTAAACCGGGGACTGATCCATTTGGCTCAGACATGCGGCTGTTATAATGACCATCGCTAGTTTATTCTTCAACATAAAAGCCAGCCCGTTTAACGTCGATTTTATTCCCAATTAAGACCTCAGTCTTGTTGAATCAGTGCTTGACTCAATGTTAAACTACAAAAGGCTGCTTGAGTGACAATAGTTTGACCTGACTGACTGCATTCAGCTGTTTTTATGGTTGATCTAATCCGATGTGTCACAGATTTTGGCATAACACATGTATTGGTTAGTCAATTGAGTAGGGTGCGGTGTTCGTGTGGGTGTGTGTCTGTGTGTGTGAGTAGAGTTTGATGCTGCAATGCTATAATAACATAAGAACCCAGTGTACAGATTGATGAATGTACTGAAATGGGAATGCGTACCTAAGATAAGACCGTGTACTATATAAGATCACATGTTGTTTTATTTTGAAATATAAAACAGGCAAAGCATGACATAAATTAGTTGTTTATTTTACTCAAAGGAATCTATTTTTCTTGAATACAATCTGATATTATGACAGGCCTGATCAGGCCAGTGGTTACATTTTTTTTACTTGCCCTGCCAAAATAAAATACAAATATCTTTGGGTAACATTGTATCCTAATAAATGATTTTGATACCAGTGAAATTTCACAATTCTCATAACTACATAAAATATATATGAATTCAAAATAAACACAATGTGACTGATAATATATATTTCTTACTCAAACCACTTAAATAAGCTATTTTTCTTATTATACCGTAATTATAATACCGTACGAAACTGGTTGAAGAAATGAATGCAATCTGAATATTTGAAAACATGGATTTCACAAGAATATGGAGTTGCCAATAGAACACATTTATATATATATATAAAAAAAATGTGAGTACATTTTTAATAGGCTAATTTATAAAAGATGCTCATGCTCTGTCTGTAATTATAATTCATAAATATAGCTTTTTTTGTCAAGTTGGTGTATAGGAATGCACCATTGACCCCCAAATGTTCCTAATAAGCCCACTTAGACATTAACTTACTTAATTGAGCTTACAACACAAGCTTTTAATTTATGAGCTTTACCCACTTTTGATTTTCACTTTCATTGTGGGGACAAAATTTCAGTGTCAAATTCCAAAACTGTAATTCATTGTTAATTTCTATCAGTAGTTCTTTGATTATATATGTTGGTTAATACAGGTTTTAATAATATGTGAAGTATATACATAACACACAGTGGGCTTATTTGTTACACAGATGGCTTCAAATGGTACCATGTTCATTTTAAGCTCACTCTAGACTCACGTTTGAAAATTTTCACTTGTCTCCTGTAATTATTGGCTGATATTTCTATTTTTTATGACAGATGGCTGCAATTCGCAAGAAGCTTGTAATCGTTGGAGATGGAGCATGTGGAAAGACATGTTTACTCATTGTATTCAGTAAAGACCAGTTTCCTGAGGTCTACGTACCCACAGTGTTCGAGAACTATGTTGCTGATATTGAGGTGGATGGCAAGCAGGTGAGATCGTCTTCTATCTTCTAACATCAAACTATTACAGAACATGTGTCTCTTCTAGAGCAGTTTGAACTTATGCAGTTTGGGGTTTATTCTGGGTCCACAATGTGTAATTGTCATGCTGTTGTTGGAAGACAAACTAAAATTATAATATAACATTATAGAAATATAGTTAAATATATAATATATAACATGCAATAATGTTAAAAAGCTTGGGGTTAGTACGATTTTTAAATATTTTATATATGCTCACCAAGGCTGCATTTATCATTAAAAACCGTAATATTGTGTAATATTATTACGATTTAAAACAGTTTTTTATTTTAATATATTTTAAAATTGAGTGATTTAATCCTGTGATACAAATCTGAATTTCCAGCATCATTACTCCAGTCTTCAGTGTCACATCATTCTTTAGAAATTTGATGCTCAAGAAATATTTCTTACTATTAGCATTGTTGATAACAGTCGTGCTGGGCAATATTTCTGTGGAAATTGAGGATCCAGGATTCTTTGATGAATGGAAAGCTCAAAGGAACAGTATTTATTTGAAATAGAAATCTTATGTGAATACCATGAATGTCTTTACTGTCACTTTTTGATCAATTTAAATGGATCCTTGCTAAATAAAAGTATTAATTTCCTTAGAAAAAATTGTATTGACCCCAAACCTTTGAATGGTAGTGTAATTATAAATAAAAACAGAATAATTACAAATTGTAATGCTCATATTGATAATATAATTTTGAATCATTTTGTTGTCAGGTGGAACTGGCTCTATGGGATACAGCTGGACAAGAGGACTACGACAGGCTGCGGCCCTTGTCCTACCCAGACACTGATGTCATCCTCATGTGCTTTTCCATAGACAGCCCTGACAGTTTGGGTGAGAAAATCCATCTCTACCATTCTTTAAATATGAATTATATACAAGGCTAATTTAGCCTTTAAATACTTTGAGACTATATGGATTAACTAAGACTACATTGCTGTGGTCACTGTATTGAAAACCTTGTTTATTCAAACAGAGAATATCCCAGAAAAATGGACGCCAGAAGTAAAACATTTCTGTCCAAATGTTCCAATAATTCTCGTGGGTAATAAAAAAGATTTGCGGAATGATGATCACACTCGACGGGAGCTGCTGAAGATGAAACAGGTGTGTGTGTGAGCTAACACTTTCTACACTAAACTGTTATTATACAGATTTTTAGATGGAAATAACAAAAAAATAATGGAACTAAAAGAGAAAAATGGTTGTTTCAATGTTATTATATTGTTTATAGAGATATAGAAGTGTACTAATGCCCTTTCAATGCTTCCTTCCTCGAACAGGAACCAGTTAAACCAGAAGAAGGGCGAGACATGGCTAATCGCATTAATGCCTTCGGCTACCTTGAGTGTTCTGCTAAAACCAAGGATGGCGTGAGGGAAGTGTTCGAAATGGCCACAAGAGCGGCGCTCCAAGCCAAAAAACGTGGCAAAAAGAATGCCTGCGCTTTGCTATAGAGAACGAGAGGCGAAAAGAAAGAACGAGGGAGGGAAAGGGGTAACCAAACTAGGCCAAGGAAAAGGAAAGAGCTATAAAAGTTCACAAATAGAGGGAAGAAACGCCCCTAGTGTTAATTATGTACTCGGGGGGAGGGGGGTCAGAGAGGGTCATTTTCAATCCAGGCCAAAGGAAACTACAGAAGATAGTAGGGACAACTGCACCGGCAAAAAAAGGGACTTAAACATTTTTATGGCCATCAGTCCTTTTTCAAATCAAGATTAGTTGACCTTTAAGCCTTCAGACGGATCACTAGCATATGGATAGTGTATTTGTTGGGTAAATAAAGATTGGCGTGTGTTCACAGTGGCTCACAATCACCGATTGCTTTAGGGGTGGGATTACTAGTGATGTATTCTTTGGCCCATAGCACATCTTCACATTTGAAGATCAGCACTGTACGCAAGAACAGAAACAAACGACTTGGTCTAAAAAGATTCCTTTTTTGGCACTAAGTGCATTATTCAGGGTGTAAAAGGCATTAGTTAGTACTCTACATCATGTGTGCTACATGTCAAGCAGGGAGTTGTTTTTTTGGATCAAGATATTGGCCACACAACGTAATACTCCCATGATGCCCTTTGTAAACCTTCCCAGGAACCCAATGCCGTCGTATGTAAATCATTCATGCCTGTTTTCTTTTTAATGATCTTTTTTTTTCCCTACATTAACATGCTAATATTGTTGGTTAACACAACTGGTTCCTCTGTGCCCTCCTGTCCTGTCGCAAAATTGACGGTTTAGTCACTGGTTTAAAATAGCTGAAGGTAGTGGTAGTCTTACAATTCTTTATTCCAATAAGATTTAAATATATCTTGTACTTTTTTTTGCCATTTGCCTATAAAAGTCGAAGTAAGATGCATTAAGCAATGATCATACTAATTCACCTTTTTTTGTGAGTATTTTATGTGCTTGCTCGTGTATTATAATTAAAAAAGAAGAAACTTTGGGTTTATCAGCCCTCGTGGAGCTCAAAGCAGAACTGCAGCTCTGTATGTTGACTGTCAAGACACTGTTCGATTTTGGCAATATTTTATAATAGGTGACAGTAACTTAATTTTTCCACATATTCCTCTTTGCCTGCATGACAGGCTTTTATTTGGTGTGCAGAAATAAAAGTAATATTTATCTCACTGTGTAAATGAGAATCTCCCTCCATTTCACTCCCATTTGTTTTCTTTTTCTCCTGTACTGTATGTTTTCTTTTTTTTCTGTGAAATTCTACTGGCTTATGCTATCTCTTTTTTGCATATTTTACAAATTCTAGTATCTTAGAATTGAAACGTTTTAAAAGAAATAAAGAAGGAAAAACGTAGCGAAATGTGATTTTGAAAGAGCTGTTTAATGCCATATTATTAAATGCAAGTCATTTCTTAGAAGAGATTCTGCATTTCATTTTAAGAAAAAAAAAGAGCCTTTGATGCATCAATTATCTTTTGTATACCAGTGCATCTTTGGATTTCCACAGACTCGTTTGAAATGTATTGAAAAAAATAAATTCTTATAGGGTAATTTGTCTTGGGTCTTTATTTTGTCTCTTCTCCAGTTGATGTTTGCGTAAAATACCTCATTTCTTCACCAGCTAGATGTGGTCTTCAGTAAACGAGTACACATGCTGACAATGTTAGGAGTTAAAAGCAGAGGTAGATTAAATAAATACCAATCTTTTGCAAGTTGACCAGTTAGTCTTTATAGTGATCTGTGCAATCCAGCCACAAATTCGTGATAATAGGGCTCTGAAATAAGAGGAAACGCAAGTTAACAGTTTTTATCATCATAAATAACCAACTATCACATTCTACCAGGTGATTTGACACTAAACCTGAGTCTGGCTCAATGATGGCGTGTCTGATGAGGAAGTCCAGAACCACCATGGCACAGTTTGGCTTAAACTCCTCACTGACCAGGAGATCTTTCACCTGAGAACACAGACAGAATAGGCGGTAAGATGTGCCAGAAGATAAAAGTGAGTATTTTCTATGCAGAATTTCAAATATCAAAGCATTTATCTATGTGTAAGCAAACTTTTATGTCACAGCTGATCTTATATAAAATCACATAGCATTTAACCCTAAAATCAATGGGATGCCTTTACCTTCTCGATTGGATAATAGTAAAATGCTTGCACTTCTCCGTCTCCGATATGAGGCTGAAAATTCAGTGGCAGCTCTAAATCAAAGACAAACTGACACTCAGGAAATATTCCTTCGTCATCTTCGTAGGTGTAGCTACGGAGACAGAGGGGAGCATGAATTGAAGATTCAAGATTGCAGAACGTCTTTCAATTTAGCTAAACATAGTAAACAGTTTCCAGGCAGAAATTATGCCGGTGACAACATCCATGTCTTTGATCAGTGACAGTGACATCTTCCAGACTTGAATTCTGGTCATCTTCTCTTGGGCGCTTGCAATATTTCTCTGGAAGCCTGCCAGATGGAGGCTATTTCTGGCTATTTAATCAGTCTCTTTTGTAAGAGAGTTTGAGAGATCTACCTTGGTATCTGGGAAAGGTTTTGAATAGGAAAAACAGTAACATGCATATTTATTTAATCTTAAAAATCATCAGTTAGCAATAGCTTTTTTTTGCTTCATACAAGGTTTTAAATTATTTTCAATGACCCAAGTGCAAAAAAAAGAATGGATTATGCACCTTACAGTTCCCACGGGACGCGCTTGCTCTGCCAGGCCTGGGGGGATGCAGGCTTCCTCTCCACACTCTTTTACTAGTGTATGCCTTACACTACAGCCTGCTGCCAGTCCTCCAGCCGCCTGAATGATAAATCAGATCAACCCAATTAAATCAAAGTTGGAGATATGCTAATGTACTTCTAAAAGACAGTAGTAATTTATATAGCACATAATTACAATTTTGCAGTCTTTATTAGTATTAATAACTTTATACACTGACATGCAAAAGTTTGGGCTCGGTAAGATTTATTGTTTATTAAAAGTCTCTTATGATCACCAAGACTGCATTTGATCAAAAACTGTAATATTGTGGAATAATGAAATGACTGACCCCAAAATGTTTGAGAGGTCCAACTTCTTGCTCAACCAATGTTGTTAGTTTGGTGTGGCACTAAATTGTAATGAACTGATTAATTTGTGTATTAATAAATCATCACCATGTTGTCCAGTCTTCCTGGATACGTCTGTTTGGTCAGAGATCGTCGTGCCAGCCACATATTAAGATTGCCACTTGAATCCCGAGTGTAACCATTGACATGGACGCCGTACCGTTTCACTCCGAACAGACCTGTGTTTGACCATTATTTATAAACAGCTATAAGTGCCACTTGGTCTGTGACAAAGTAGAAGCATGAAATGAATATTTTATTAACATACTTGTAGCTGCTCTCTCCATGTACATCAGCGGAGGATCGCAATACCTGGGCATCACAGCGTATTGCTGAAAAGAAATGCACTCTGATAAATATCAAAGAATCAGGGTCTGAATTATTAAACAAGGAAAAAAAATGCTACTGTAGTGAATTATTCTGGAGATTTTTATTTAAAGTGCCCCATCATGCTTTTTCAGATATTAACTTTCATGCAGTGTGTAATATAGCTGTTTGTGGATGTAAAAGGTCTGCAAAGTTTCAAAGATCAAAGAACATGAAAAATAGTTATTGCCTCCCAAAACAAAGAGCTGCCTCTGAACTGCCGAAAACGTGTCTGCAGTAACTACAGTCTTACTACCTTAACATCCTTTTTTTTAAATGTAAATTGATGTCATGGTGAGTTGTGTTATATGATAGTGGAAGCCCTTGAAACTCATTCTCCATATCGCTCATTATTTCTGACACTGGAACAAGTTGAAACTAATGTTTAAAGAGTAAGGGTGAAGATGAGTAACTATCTGTCTTACCTCATCTCTCCAGCCTATAAGACAGGTGAATGATGCCTCTCTCCTCAGCTCCTGTAAGACCTCATCCACAGCCACTGACCTGCTCTCAAAAGTGTCAACACTGGAGCAGAAGGTGATAGAGCTCCCATAAGGTCTGAAGACAGAAGGAAAACGACCAAGAACTGATGCTACTTTTGGGGAAATCCATCCAACTTGTTCTCCAGCCACTTCAAAACGTAGACAGCTCTCTAAACTAGAACCTGGAATAAAATAATGCACTGATGTCAAGTAAATACATACATGTAATACGTGTAATAACACAGTAATATCATTTTCTTTGCACCTTGAATACAGCCAAGTATACAGAACTTTAAAAAAGGTGTTAAAGTCTATATATATATATATATATATATATATATATATATATATATATATACATACAAATATAACTATGTTTTACAATTTGCTCATCATCTTACTTACTATAAATTGATTTTTCGAAGTATTTTATAGATCAATAAATCAAATAAAAAAAGACCAACCCATACATGGCTTGTCCATTCACACTGGATCACATGCAAATGTATTGTTCTGTCAATTTATTTCCCCACCTGGTAAATGAAAGTTATTCATTCGACGCAGGAGTTGTAGCATTTTCTCCGACCACGAAGTCATTTGTCGATTTCACACGTGTTACAGTTAATTATCCGTTCAGAAACCGTGATTTATTATATTGGGGGATTTGTGCTTGTCGTTGACATGCTGTCACACACCCACGGGCTTCATGTTCGCCTCCATTGTTGCATTTCCTGTTGATGTGAGCCCTGATTGGGTGGCAGGTTCGATTGATCTGCGCGCTGATTGGTTGAAGCTCTATGACGAGTTATTTAAGGGCGAGTGTTGCTCAGAGGTGTTTCTCCACTAGAGGGCGAATGTAGATTAAAAAAAAACCAAAAACAAAGTGCACTTGTTATGTTACTGGACTAAAATACTTTGAACAGACATGTCCAAAAAAAAAGTCATGTCCATTTCTCCATATACAGTGCTAAACGGTTTATTGTTCAATTATCATGTTAATATGTGGAAATTGCACCTACTGTGAATTGGGTCATTGGGCCTTCTCATTAGTAAGTTTATGAGTTCACGTCGTCACATCATATAATCTTTACGTGAAATGCTTTGTGCTTGCTGTTTGATACAATTGACGTAAATAGACACAGATGAAGATGAGGTGACAGTGTAACAGCAATGAGGTAAGCATCGCTTCTGTTGTGTTTGGCAGTATTATGAACATGCTCATTCGTAGAACTCGATTTGAAATTAAAATGTGACCATTGATTACCATAATTTGAGTAAAATAACCTTATATGATTGACAAAATGTATCATGACCAATTACATTCCTTTTCACTCATCTTTGGGTCTTCACTTTGATTGCACTGGGCTCCACAAAACTGAATTAACCATAATTTCCATCAAAAAGATGCAAACAGTCGACTCGACATGCAGTCATGCTGTCTTCTGCTTTTGTTCGACTGGCTGTGTTAAACACTGACAAAGAAATCCATTACAGATACAGAAAGGGACAGAGAGAGGGACAACTAAAATATTGGTTGCATTACACTTGCTGTAATCTGCACCACAATCTTGGGGTCGAGACTCCCTCTGAGCACTAAAAATATGCAGACAGTAATCACTGTTGTTAGAGAGGACTGAGAAGTATCTAGTTGTAGGCGTTTTTTAATGAGTCAAGAAAAGCAAACTGTTCCAAAACACACAGCTAGAGAAGAGATAAACAGAAGAGAGATATTTCTTTATGAGTTGCTATCTATCTATCTATCTATCTATCTATCTATCTATCTATCTATCTATCTATCTATCTATATCTATATCTATCTATCTATCTATCTATCTATCTATCTATCTATCTATCTATCTATCTATCTATCTATCTAAATGATTTTCATTCTCTACTACAGTATAAGTTCTCTAAACAGTCTGGGCAGTATTTATCATGTTCTCGACAGGCTTGGCTCCAGCCATGTGTGTGGACGGATGGTGAATTCTAGGAAAAAAGTAACCACTGATTCTCAAGTTGTCATGAAGAAAATGAACACATTAGACTGTTTGCTGTCTGAGGTCGGCTTAGTTCAATTGTACATTAAACCATATTTTTGGAAGTGTCTTCATACAGCCTCATTCCAGAAATGGACCACAGCTGAAGGATGGTGCTAAAACGATTTCGGCGTTATTTGTTTGAGACATTTATATCTGGTATAACCTGTTTTTGGTCAGACGCTGAGCAGATGTACAAGGTAAACTCGAAGACAGGAAGATGTGTGGGTGGCGTGTTTACCTGTTTAAAATGATTGTTTGTCTTCACGAGCATTCAGAGTTTTTATTTTTGAATGAAAGACAGGAAGCTCGGGGCATGTCTAATGGGGGAGTATTACATCCAATTGCCTAATACTTTTCTGTGTGGGAGGCAAAAATAAAGAAAGGCTATAACGAACTGGGGTGTAGGAGATGCAAATTGCAAACAGAATTAAGCAGAACTAATTGATTTATTTGTCCCAGCCTGCTCTAAACACATTTTATATAATCACAACAGGCTTACACTTGTGTGTTAATGTTGTGTTAGCTAACACATATTACGGTCCATATTCTGATAAAAGCGGTTTAAATGCTTTAGGTTATTCCAGTCTTCCTGTACACATGGTAATTAACATGTTAGTCTTTTCCTGCTGTTTTCTTCTTGAAATAATGCGCTCCTTTTGTTTTGTTGGTTATGTTTATTTTACGATTAAAGTTACATTTAACGTTTACCTCCTTCTTCCCTGAGCTTTAACTGTTACAGTTACGTTTGATAACTTAAATTCAAATAATTTAATTTCATTCTAATTAAATAGTGTTGAATTAATTTACAGGTCACTTTATTTGATTAATTAAAAAAAAATTGTTGGGGGGGGGGCGGCTATGAGACATTTCTTGCACACTGCAGTAAGCTAGGTCAATATTAAAATATCATATTAATAAAAGCTAGATGACTTGTAAATGCCATGCAATATTTTAAAATATATTTTCTGGTGGAGAAAACAAAAGCTCTTTCTGATTTTGCTATGTTAGTCACATGGTTTCTACGGAAGTCAAACCAAAAATCGAGGGTAACGCGGATATGACATCACTGACACGGGCCGTTACATTAGATAGATATCCATAATAATGTTTTACGCCGGAGTCTTTATCGTCATCACCGGCGGCCATCTTGTCACAGGCAAGATGATGTAAAATGAGTGATCAGCCGCACAAACACAAATATTCATAAGTTCATAAGTATGTAGTATTCACATATTACATATAAGTATTCACAAGTATGCAGTGTCATAACTACATCTCTGACGTTTGGAACAAACCAACCCATTTGAAAATCGGTAGAAAATTGAGCAAGTTATGGTTATTTAAAAAGTACATGCACCATTAAAACGCAGTGTTACGAGTGAGCGAGCTGCCTGGGACAAGATGGCCGCCAGGTGCGGACCTCGACCTCCATTGGACGGTAGCGCGGACGAGACATCTAGCCTTTATTATGGATATCTATGGTTACACTGGTTAAAATTGCTGATGTCTCTGGATTTGAACATTGTTGGAAACATTTGGGATCGTGTAGGAACACAAGTTGACAGAATATTCAATATATAACATTGTGCCTATTTTTGTAAACATTTTTTTTTTCAACAAATAAACTTTTTTTTTCTAGCTGGATTTGCCCATATGCAGGGGTTCAGAATGTAGACTTGAGGCCACATAGCAAAGTCCTGGCAACGACCCACAACAGTTGAGAATCATGGTGAAACATTGTGTTGGGTAATTTTAGTTTCTGATTTGAATAATAAAACCAGACGCAGAAAGAAATTAAAATGTTATTGAAAAAAGTGGTTGTCATGGCAACAATGCTTGTATGCAGAGAGTTGGCCACACTGAACAGAAAGAGGCCGCATGGTCAAGCGAGGTTGCAAAAGGCAATGGAACTTGAAGAATGTCTCAGGAGTGTGGTGCCGTTGGCCCTTCGACAAACAAAGCTAGCGTTCATATCAAGGGCTCCCTATGGTCCAATGTTTTCTCTGCTCAAAAAATTGCATATCAAGAGAGGCTTAAATGAATGTTTTATTCATCAACACAAATCTGAAATCCCACACACTGAATGTGCATCCATTGACGTCAGAACATTAAATCGTGTCAAAGATAAGATTTTTTTTCCACTCAAGGACGCTTTAATAGTTTGTTTGGCTCTGGGGACCGATGGGCGTTTGTTGAGAGGGAAAGGAGAGGCGGTTGGTGGGTCTTCATGGCAAATGAAAGAGGCGCTTTGTTGAAACTGTTTTCTTTTTCTTTTTTCCCTCTCACTCCCCTGCTTCCGTTCCAATCCTTCCTCCTCACTCTCTGCCCTCACCTTTGCATTTCTTTTTCTTTCTTTTTTTTCTCAGAGGGATGGGTTGAACATGATTTCCAGAGGCAGAGAATATAACTGGCCTTTCAGAAGGTGCAGCCCTCAGAGTTATTGAGACGCATGTCTCAGCCAGACCTGAACTGACTCAAGCATACATTCACAATGTACAAGTCTTTAGCTTTGTGTTTGTGCCTGTGTTTAGCGCTTTTAGCAGCTGAGGGAAAACGAGAAAGAGGAAGAGGAGAGAGACAGAGGAGCTCCAGGCGCTTCTTGTCCGCTGAGGATGCGCTTGAGTATGATAACCCTTTCCTTCCTGGTGAGCAATGCTTATGGCATTTAATTTAAGAAAATATTTCCTAAAATTGTGACTTTATATTAAAATGTATATTTTGAATTCATATTTATTGTGCAGTTGTGACTATTGAAAAGTGACTATTTAATTAAAGCAACAAAAAATATATACATTTAAAAGATTTATATCAATTGCTCAATTGTATTTGCCAAAAAAAATAAGTGGTTATGTTGAGTTAAGATGAATAGTTTTAAAATGTATGCATGTCAGTGCATTGCATGACAAAACATCAAATCAAGTGGCATTTATTTGACGGATAACACAAACGTACTTTTCAAGCTAAACCATTGTGAACTTAAAGGAAACTGACATCATGCATCCACTAAAAATATTTTTTTTATATTACCATATTAATGAATTTTAAGTTTCTGATTACTTTTTGTATTATTATATTAATTTACTTTATACAAATGCAATGACATTTATGCATTTTGTGTGTCCCAATTACTTGTTGGAGCCACTGTGTGCTGATTTCTGAAATTTTGTATCTGTGGACACATGCCAGGGCGTAGCAGCCAGTGCTTGGTGAATGGGATTTCTCTGTTCGAGGGGGCTGTCTGGTCTCCGGAGCCTTGCAGTGTGTGCCAGTGTAAAGGTGGAGCAGCGAGCTGTCGAAACGTCCCCTGCCCGGCCAGAGGTTTGGAAACCACCATATCTTTCTTTCTCACCGCATTCAAAGTCTGCTTGATTGCAGCCTCAGTGACAACATCAGATCTACTAATCTATAATCTACATTCTTTCTTTTATATTTTTTACTACCGTTTAGTACCGTTTTGGGGTCTTTAACATTTTTCTGCATCTATTTGAGCAAAAATACAGTAAAAATAGTAATATGTTGAAATACTATTACAATTTAAAACTGTTTTGATTTTATAGATAAATATATATATATCATTACTCTGTCACATAAAATCTTTGAGAAATCATTGTAACATGTTGATTCATTTCTTATAATCATCAATGTTGATTGTTGCGCTGCCTTATATTTTTCTTGAAACGTAACCTTGCTGACCCCAAATGTTTGAACGGTAGTATATGTTCCATTCTTTTTTTTTTATTGTTTTTTGGGGTTTCCAATGAAATAGTAGTTGGAATAGCAATTTGTAGTTTGCGCTAAAGAAAACAGTGGGCATCCCTGTGGCGATACAGGTGGAGAATTATGTGAAACATCGGCTCTTAGTGTGGTGCTGGGAAAGGTGCCATAAGGGAGTGGGATGCTTGGTGGTGGATACTGATTTTTCTGTTTGCCACACCATGTCTAGCTTCACCCACCCTGAAGTCTGTGGCCAGTAAGACCAATCCAAACTCTGTGGGGAAAACAAGCTTGAAAAACAGACTGACAGGGAATGGAAAACCACCTGTGGGGATGGAGGTTCTGGAGGTGAAACCAAAGAAGAACAAGATGGCGGTTACACCAGCGAAAGAAGTATGTAGATGTGCATGTTTGCCCTTTAGATATGTATGTGCTGGTCTTAACTGGTTTAGGATATTCAGGCCTGGTTTTACAGACAGGGCTTAGATTAAGTCAGGATTAGGTTTTAGTTCAGTTATGACATTTAAGTAGCTTTTATAACCATGTCCTGGAAAAAAACATTACTGATGTGCATACTAAGACAAAACAATGCTACTGACATGTTTTAAGATATGTCAGTGCAAGTTGCTCTTAGTTAAAACTGCTCAAACATGCATTTTAAAGGAGTAGTTTACTTTAAAAAAAAAAACTTTACTCACCTCCATGTCATCCAAGATGTCTAAGTCTTTCTTTCTTCAGTCGAAAAGAAATTAAGGTTTTTGATGAAAACGTTCCAGGATTTTCTCCATATAATGGACTTCAATGGGAACCAAACGGTTCAAGGTCCAAATGAGAGTTTCACTGCAGCTTCAAAGGGATTTAAACGACAACAGACGATAAATAAGTGTCTTATCTAGCGAAACGATCGGTCATTTAAAAAATAAATGAAAAAGTTTTAAGTTTTATAAGCTCTGTTCTGGGATGAGTGTTCGTGACTATCCTGTTCGAACTCGTTCATCAAAATGAATGAATCTTTTTTCGTGTAATGACTCGAAGGGTCCTAGATAAGACCCTTATTCATCGTCTGGTGTCGTTTAAAGCCCTTTGAAGCTGCAATGAAACTCTCATTTGGACCTTGAACCGTTTGGTTCCCAATGAAGTGCATTATATGGAGAAAATCCTGGAATGTTTTCATCAAAAACCTTAATTTCTTTTCGACGAAAGAAAGACATGGACATCTTGGATGACATGGGGGTGAGTAAATTATAAAGTGAACTACCCGTTTAATCTGGGACTAACTTTAAACCTTGCCTGTTAAAAGTAAAGTATATAAAACCAGTAAACTAGATCAGCTAAGAATAGCAAAACAATCTAGGTTAGAGTTAAGCAGATTTGACCTCTTTTAATTGTACTTTTTTTTTTATTCAGCCATCCTTAAATGTCCCCAAGAAGCAAGTAAAGAAAAACCAGGTGACTTTGAGTCTGGATCCTAGAAAATTGCATAAGACCCCTTTAATACCCAGAGAACATCAATATATGAGACCAATCCATTTTGATAATGATGACCACGATGATGACGACTATCTGGAGGACGACAGTGACAGCGATGATGATGACGATGATAACAGCAGTATTTCAGTGTTCAGATCTGCTGTTCGGCCTGTAGCAATCGAAAGACGAGTGATGCCGCCCACACTCAAACCCTCTGTACCACGAGCAGAACCGGCCTTTGCTCTTCCTACAAGAAGATCTGTGCTCCTGCCTGCTGGAAGGCCGCTGCCAGCCCCCAGTGGGCGACCGGTGGATCGAGATATTGGCCGTCCAGTCTTCCACACCTCTGTTCATATGGAGTCTCTTCCAGCAGGCTGCTTGCTTTCAGAGTCTCTTATCGCCTGTGGAAACACTCGCCTTACCCAAATACCCTTCATCAGAGATCCAGGGGTCAAGAGTCTCTTTCTTGCAGGTGAGGTGAGCTCATGAGGGCTAATAGTACACTACAAAAATATTTGTTTTTATTATCATCATACTGTATATACACACAGTATATACATAGTTTTATGCTTTATATACTCCAGTCCTCAGTGTCACATAATACTTCATAAATGAAAAATTGCTGTTCAAGAAACATTTCTCATTATTAACAGCGTTGAAAACAGTTGTGCTTCTTAATAATGTTTACATTATTGATGAATATAATAAAATCTTAAAAAAATTGACAGACCCCAAACTTTTGAATGTTAGTGGATAAAATATGTATGATAAAAATGTGTGTCACATTGGGAGATACATTCACAAATTGTGAAATGTTAAGTCACAATTATTAGATATAAAGTCCAAATTGTGGAATATGATGTTTTTTTCTAACATGATTAAATTACGTTTTGGAAACTATTTATATAAAACTCACTAAATTGTTGTAAATTTATGTGTAAAACGTGTATATGAACATTTTATTTGGTTGTGCAAATGACAGTGAAACAAAAATGCATCTTTAAAAGGGAGTCTAGAATCTGAAAATATTTTCAGACCCTAGACCCCCCTTAAAGATACATTTTTAGGGTGAAAAGGTGTTGTTGGAGTTTGACAGATTTACTGGTTACCAGTCTTACTGGTTGTCCATCAGAGGACTTGTAGAAGTGCAAACAGAGCTGAAAATTTCTCATGACTTCCTGGTGTTTTGCAGATAACAAAATCAGCAAGATCCCAGCGGATGCTCTGGCAGGTCTTCCCAACTTAGAGTGGCTCGACCTCAGCAAGAACAAGCTGGATGATTTCTCTTTGGGACTGGATGTGTTTCAGGTGAGATGCAGTCAAGAAAACCTTATTAGCAAGTGCACCGAAACATCTCAACATCTCTGTTTGTATCTTAAAAACAATGGCTATGATTTTTGTTTAAACTCTAATAATATTCTGAGCAATATAAATCTTTGTGATCTGTTATCTGTTACAACTGTGAGTTATCAGGCCTTATGGTGCCGCACAGTGCATGCTTGATATTTAGCAAGTAGCTGACGTGTTTTCGCAAGATGTCGGGTCTGACATCACCGAGAAAATTCTCACCAGGTTGCTGCAGTGAACAGGAATTTTCAATCAATAGATATTACCCCTTAAAAAGAAACGCAATCATTTTTTACCGTTTTCTCACCTGTGTGCCATTTCAACCGGGCGCCAAGCACAGGATTTTACAAGTGACATGTATGTGACACAGAGCAGAATAGTGTTTTTTTCACATGTTCACTGCACCTCAGTGTTTACCTGCGCTCGGTAGCATGATCGGGAAATGTCTGTTCGTCATGCCAGATGAACTCTGAATATCTGTGTAACTTTTGCTTCTGTGACTTGCAGAAAGCTTTGAAATATTTCCAGTGTGGCTTTGACAGTGTTATGAGTATCTTCTCGGCCTGTTGCAGAACTTGACGAGGCTCAGGAGGTTAAACCTTGACGGAAACAACTTCACTAAAGTGCCGGCTCTCCCTCCATCACTGGTGGAGCTGAAGATCAACGATAATAAACTCAGTGGTCTCACTCCCCACAGCTTTAAGGGTAATCACACAACCACAGTGTCCGTATGAACTCACTATCCAACACTCAAGTCCAGTAAAAGATCTGTTTTTCATGTTAGGGGTTAAAATGACTTATCTACTTCCCAGTTAGTTGATGCTTTATCCAGAGTGATTTATGGTACACTTACACTAACTATAGGGGGAAAAAAATCACAAATTAGATGTTTTTAATATTTTCTCCATAGACGGAATTGAAATTAAATGGAGAGAAAAATGGAGAGAAAAAAAGAAAAAAAGACTCCAAAGGCAGTTTATTTAATAGAGACAATCAAAACATGTAATCCAAAGTGCAAGGTCAAACGCAGGCAGTCCAATCAATCAATCAAATAAACTGGCAGGGAGCACAGGCAAGAAATGCAAAACCAAGAGACATACGTCCAGAAAACGCTCAGAGATGCAGTGTAAACAACTAACAAGACTTTACAGGGAATGAATGTGAAAACCAGGCTTATATGGGCTGAGATAAACAAGGTAAATACATACAGGTGAATGTTATCCTGGCAGATTAGTCTGGGCAAAGGATTATGGGAAATGTAGTTTGTGGATGTGTGGTGATTGTTCGAGTTGGAGTGCCCTCTGGTGGTTATCCCAGCACAATCTCACTGGTAATCGTTAAAAGTATTATAAATAGTTTCAGTCGTGTCTCAAAAGGTGCTCAGATTTGCCAAGTTACCAAAATTGGCTATCAAAAGTCAGGGATTTCAGTCTGAACTCCAACAAATGTCTCTCTCATTTGTTTCTTTTGTCCACAAAAATATTAAGCAGCACAACTGTTTTCAACATTTATAATAATAAGAACACTAAATCAGCATATTATAATGATTTCTGAAGGATCATGTGAAAATTCAGCTTTTCCATCACAGGAATAAATTACATTAAAATATATTAAAAATATATTTTTAATTGTAATTGTTATTTTTATATTTTATATATTTTTGTATATTATTTTTATATTTTAATTGTAATATTATTGTTTTTACTGTAATTTTGATCAAATAATTTTAGCATAAGAGACTTCTTTCAAAAGCATAAAAAAATCCTACCGACCCCTAAACTTTTTTACTATAGTGTAAATGAAACACAACTGAAACCGCTATTAAAGAAATACTGGTAAATACTGACAAACTAAGAGTCATTGCTATTTTCTGGCAATCTAATGTTCTTTATTTTCTTCCTCAGGTCTGTCACAGTTGCTGACACTGGAGTTGGAGGATAATTATTTCCACGATGGAAATGTCTCTCCTTTGGCCTTCAAACCTCTGAAGAGACTGATTTACCTCAGGCTGGATGACAATAAATTCAGAGCTATTCCCTCTGGTCTGCCTGTATCCGTACAGGTCAGTCACATTTTGTGTCTGAAAAGCGCTAAAGTTGCAGAACATACATACTATATACACTGTGCAAAACATGCACTAGATTTTAGTTTGGTGACCTCAAAATTACATTTAGTTTTGGAGTGTTTATTCAATGCAGAGTTGGAGTGCAATTGATAATTGAGTGTTGTTGTTTTTGTTACTCCTTTAGGAGCTGCATCTGTCTGACAACAAGATAGAGGTTGTCCATTCAGGGCTCCTCAACAAGACCACAAATCTGAGAGTCCTGAACCTCAGCCATAACCGAATCCGAGAGGACCGCATTCATCCAAGAGCATGGATACACTTGCTGTGAGTTCAGATCTCTCTCTCTCTCTCTGCTGTCAGGTGCCATCTTGTGGTTAGTTACTGTAATGCATACAAATAGGTTCAGGACCACTTACTAAAGAGATGGAGCAGTTATATAAATTGATGCGTATGGCCGCCTTTCAGAACATTATAAATAGGGAGAATTTAAAATCAAAGGCCTATATTAACCCCTCTGAGTCGCGTCGAGTATGTTTATGATGGATGGATGGATGATCTTTTTTGGACTTCAAAATCTCAGCCTCCATTCACTGCCATTATAAAGCTTGGACAATCCAGGATTTTTTAACTATAACTCCGATTGTATTCGTCTGAAAGAAGGTCATATACACATGGCATGGCTTGAGGGCGAGTAAATCATGGGGTAATTTTAATTTTTGAGTGAACTAACCCTTAAAAGGCTAAATCCTGGATAAATCTAAACCCTGTCTGTGAAACCAGGCCATTATATATGAAGAGTTCAGATGCAAAAGCCTCTAAATGCCATTTGAAATTTTCATCTTTAATGATGATTTTTATCAAACTTGTATATTTAAGTTCAGTTATTTCACTTAAATGGCAATGATAATTACCTATTAATTGTTATTTAAGTGAAATTACTGAACTTAAATATACAAGTTTGATAAAAATCATCATTAAAGATGAAAATTTCAAATGGCATTTAGAGGCTTTTGCATCTGAACTCTTCATATATATATATATATATATATTATAAAGTATTTCAAAACTGTTTTGAACCATCTTCAAAAATGCCTTTATCCACAGAAAACTGGAGTATTTGGACCTTTCCCATAATAAGCTTGTTCACGTTCCCTCTTTCTTGCCGGCTGGTCTGCGGCAACTCATCTTGCATCATAACCAAATTGAGCGCATTCCTGGCTATGTGTTCGGCCACCTGCGGCCTGGTCTGGATTCGCTTCAGCTGTCTTACAACCGTCTGCGTGAAGACGGGATAAATGAAGTGTCCTTCATGGGCTTGTACAACTTACTGACTGAACTTTTGTTGGACCATAATCAGCTCAGGTCCATCCCACGAGGCATTCTACAGTTAAAGGCTCTGCAGCACTTGACACTCAACCACAACTACATCAGGTTAGTCTATCTATATATCTATCCATCTATCCTTTCAGACTTAAGCCTGCATCAAAGTTTGTCTACAAACTTTACTATCTTGTTTACTCTACATTTGCGTGAAAAAAATCCATACTGCTTAGTATGTTTATACATATACATTTATTTTGTACACTTATAGAAGTAAAAATAGTCTTAATAATAGAGAGTGTTCATTATCCTGATCTTCTCCCTATAGCTACATCACTATGAACTCATTGTGTGACATCACGGCCCGTGAGGACTCCCCGCTAGTCTCTGTTCACTTGGAGTACAACCTGATCGACCGCCGCCTCATTCCCCCCACAGCCTTCTCCTGCATCAAAACCTACCAGAGCGTCCTTCTGCGGCCACAGAGATACGAAGAGCACCAGAAATGAAGCCTTGGAGCTTTGAGTTTACAGAGCATCTTTAATCAAGCCATAATTCAGAGATTTAAGTGAAGTAACAATACAAATGCTGTTCCCTTTTTTACACTAGAGGCCTTTCATTTTGTGTTCGTTGTGTTTTAGGGATGTTCTGACAGTCTCAATGGGGCCACACATGCACATGCATTTTTTTGTGCCTTACTGCAATTAAAATCTACTGTTGTTTGACATTAGCATCAGCTGTGTTCAATGTTTATAACAGATTTGCAGGGGTCTGTTTAGCACAGATTTACATTTACATGTAGCATCTTTTCTGTCTGTTGTAGTTGTTTTACATTATCTTATTGTTGTCTTTTACACCAGTATGTCTGCAATTTACATTTTTTTTATAAATCAAACTTACATGTGCAAAGATTCCTTTCTTTTTTTTAAGTATATGCAATAGTTATTTTTTATATATATACTTATACATTATTTATTTTTTGATTGAAAAGAATATCTATCTATCTATCTATCTTTTATTTTAAATACTGTTTAAAATGGTTTTCAGTACCAGAAGGTTTTGACTTTTCCAATTCAGTTTTGTGTTACTTTGTTGTCTGTATGTTTGTGTTCTCTTATTTACAAGCTACAATAAAGTTGAGAGGTGAAATAATTCATTTGGGATCAAAAAGATTTATTATAATATTATAAGCACATCTCTGGTGAAAATGAGGCACTTGTGTCCTGCAGATCTGCAGACGAAGTTACTTAATCTCACCATTTAGTGTGTGTGTGTGTGTGTGTGTGTGTGTTCTCTACTCAGTGCATCTGAATTTCACATTTGTCCACTAGGGGGCGACGGAAAACGCAAAATTTAAAAAATATATGTATTTATTTGTTTCTGGATTATTTGGCTTGTTTTCATTGGCGGAGAAAAATATATATCGATTTACAGTTTTAGTTTGAAATGTAAATTATTTGATGCTAACTTCTTGTTGAAATGTTGCAAATGTTACCCTTATTTGATGCCGTATCGGCGTTTTCTCCAGTCTCGTCACCGTGAGTAAAATAAATAAAACACGGGTTACAGTGGTGATAATTCACAATTAATATCTGCAGTATCACTCCTGCTTTTTCGGGACATTGCTTTGTTCTTACCATAGGTTCTTACAGAAACGGACAGCAGAGCATCAACGCAGTGCTGAGTCGCACTTTCGTCATTCTGTCTGTATTATGACACTGACTGACTAGCACTGGGCAGTGGCGCTCTCTGGTTGCTCTATTTCTATCCAGAGAAACTCTTAAAGTGGTAACTTGCTGCCACAAGTGCTTCTTTTTCTACTTCACAGCAGGACTCTGTCTCAGATTTATTTTCTTTGGGCCGTCCCTACATTGATTCTCTGCTGATGTATATTCTGTGACTGCTCTTCATTTCCAGGGCGTGGACTGTGTCCTAAACCATGAAGAAAAACTTCCTTATATTAAAAGAGCATATCCTGGAGTAACACCAGTCTTTGTGGGAAAACCTGGAAGTCTGTGGCAAGATGTATTCATTGTGGCTCAGCATGTCAAACAGAGATCAATGTTTCTATCTATCTATCTATCTATCTATCTATCTATCTATCTATCTATCTATCTATCTATCTATCTATCTATCTATCTATCTATCTATCTATCTATCTATCTATCTATCTATCTATCTATCTATCTATCTATCTATCTATCTATCTATCTATCTATCTATCTATCTATCTATCTATCTATCTATCTATCTATCTATCTATCTATCTATCTATCTATCTATCTATCTATCTATCTATCTATCTATCTATCTATCTATCTATCTATCTATCTATCTATCTATCTATCTATCTATCTATCTATCTATCTATCTATCTATCTATCTATCTATCTATCTATCTATCTATCTATCTATCTATCTATCTATCTATCTATCTATCTATCTATCTATCTATCTATCTATCTATCTATCTATCTATCTATCTATCTATCTATCTATCTATCTATCTATCTATCTATCTATCTATCTATCTATCTATCTATCTATCTATCTATCTATCTATCTATCTATCTATCTATCTATCTATCTATCTATCTATCTATCTATCTATCTATCTATCTATCTATCTATCTATCTATCTATCTATCTATCTATCTATCTATCTATCTATCTATCTATCTATCTATCTATCTATCTATCTATCTATCTATCTATCTATCTATCTATCTATCTATCTATCTATCTATCTATCTATCTATCTATCTATCTATCTATCTATCTATCTATCTATCTATCTATCTATCTATCTATGTATGATTGGACTAAACACTTGAAACTAATTAAGACTGAAGCCAATATCAAAGTTTGTCTACCAAACGTTATATAGCCTAGTTAATGTTATTAGTCTTTTTAACAGGAAAAAAAACTTCACATTTTAAATCTATTCATCTCTTTGTCTCATTTCATTACATCTCATTTATATATGCAGAAACTAAAGTTTTTTTGGATGGACACTACATTAATAATATGTATCCTGAATGTTCAAAAAAGGGTGATTTCAAATGAAATGTCTTAATAACTATAAATAATAACTGGCAGCCTAACTAAGTATAGTATTTGGGAGAAATTACCAGCCCTCACACTATCTGACTCTCGCTCTCTCACACTCACCACCTAAAAAGAAGGAGAAAAACAGTGGGAGGGAAAGACAACTTAAGTGGGAATGTCTCAAATACACAATTTTTTCCCTCTTTTTCAAGCTGTCCTGTGTTTTGAACTGCAGGTACTATTCAGTGCTGAGTGACTGCTGGCAGCCAAGGACCTAAAAGACAGTCATCCAAAACAATGATCAAACCATAAAATCTGTTTGCCATCAGACATCTGAAAAAAGAAGAAATCATCTCCGAGTTAATCTTGCACATCAGGTAAGATGCTTTGATGATCTTATTTATCTTTCTGACATGTCCCTGTTCAGTTTAGTGCACCTGATACAACTTAATTCATCTGATTCTGTTACGACCAATTACATTCTTTGAAAAGCTTAAAAGCTTTCTTTAGCTCATTTAAAAAAAGGAAAAAAGGATACTTTAAAATCCTTGAGAAATGTTGTGTTGGCATCAGCTTTATGAGTCACTCAGTCATCCACGTCAACTCTATAATCTTGACAGTATTCAGTAATGTATTCTTTAATTAGCTCATCTCACCTCACTATGTGATGTAAATCAACTTTGCATGACCATTTGGCATCATTTTGATATTGCACATCTTTGAAGAAAAAAGCTAGACACCTTAACATTCTTAGTTGTCCGTTAAGATATTTTTTTCACAAGAAATAAAGACTCACCTGCATCAAACTCATAAGTGGGTACAGACTGCTTTAAAACTTTCTATTCATTAGTACTCATTTTATTCATATTCATTTTATTGTGTTTGTAAAATTGTTCTGGCTGTGGTCAAAATCAGGCTGTGCACCATCGTTTAATGCGTTTTTAAATGAGGTCTTCCAGTTACCTTATTGTCTTATTTTAAGAGGGTGATTTTGGTGCATTCAGTGTCTTTATTTCGGTGCATGAATCAGGGTGTCTCTCCAAAAACAATCTGTTAAACTTGCCAGTAATGTGGTTCTTCTGCCATTCTGTGGTAAAGGGTGTGGGAGTGAATTTGGAGAGAGAAAGAGCTCAGAGGCAGTTTAAAACCACACACACAACACGTGGCACAAAATAAAACTAGTTACTGCGGATCTGGACGGTCACAGAATAAAATAAAATATGTGGATCAGTGTGTCTGCACATTGAAATGAAGCAGCCTTATTTTAGTATAATTTATATATATTTTTTTTTTCAAGGAGCTTTGATTTCATTTTAATTTGAGTTTAAGTTTCAATTGTGTTTAGTACTTTTGTCATTTTTATATATTTTTTATTTCTATATAGCTTTATTTTAAGGCAAAATTTCAAATTTTCATATATGTTTTTAAGTTTATTTTTCCACCACATATTTATTTATTTATTTTAATTTTAATATCTTTAGTTTTAGTTTTTGTTAACAATAACACCACTGGACGTATTAGTCTAAATAGCAAAAATATCACATTGGAAATCTCTTTAATATCTCAATCGTTTCTCCTAGACAATAGTGAGATTAAAAGGCGAGCATATTGAGATTTGCTTTCTTTTCAAAACTTACTCTTAAAGGTAGGGTAGGCAATTTCAGACAGGCTAGCAATAGCAAGCTAGCTTTAAAACTAAGCATAATATCCCACCCGTCTCCAAAGTCACGCCTAGCTTCAAAACACATGAACATACAGCAGAGTTAAACGTTAAACTACCTCATGTCTCAAAGCACAATAACAACAATATGAACGTAAATAACTTAAAGAGCGCTGACCTGTACCACCTGACTGCAGATCCGTTTTAGCGTTGATTGTGTTGATGTAGAAATACGCATAAATCCGAGTCTGAGGACGTGAACAGCTGCGAACAGTAACATCACTGGTTGCCACTCGTATTTGCGGTTAGGACATGGCGTGAACGCAGCATAAGCTTCTTCTTTTGGTTCAGGTGGAACTGTGAATGGCGTGTGATGTTTGTGTCAGCAGGGTGCGCGGAGGTATGGAAATACATATGTTGACAGGCAGGTAGGACCATCCTATCATTGCATTCGGACCGAATGCAATGATTGGATGAACATTTTTTTGGTCCTGTGCCTTCCACAGAAGATGTATGTACATTTTTTTAATATTTAGGCCCCTTCTATTGTTGATTGCCATCAGGATGTGAAGAGAGTTTCAACCATTGTAGAAATTGTTTATAAAACACATTTTTGCAACCATACCTTTAAAAAAAACATCCTAAAATCTCTCCTCAAGTCTTTTCAGAAGAGATCTCAATCATTTAACCAACTGTGCTCCGATTTACCAAGATACCAATCAAAAGTCTGTTTGAATATGAACTCTGGTATAACTCACGTAATTATCTGAGCTATGTAATCTTTTACAGCTTTATAGTCTTACTGTGTCAACAAATTTCTAATTTATTTCCATTTTTGAATCTCCTAAGGAATTTCAGACTAAACACCTGAGATTGTTGATACTTAAATGAAACAAGAATCCCCTCAGCTATGAAAGAGCAACATCTAAGTAATTCAAGTTTCCTCTAGGATGGAACTGCATCAGTTATTATTGTAATAAGTGATTCAAGTCACATAATTTATTTACATTAATTATGTACATATGTCATATGTTTCTTCTACAGAAGACAATTATCAAATGCACCAAAAGGGCTAAATATATATATATATCCTACTGACGTTGCATCAGTGTGGTTTCAGCTGTAATTCAGCTGGACAAAGGACACAAAAATACACTCAGATGATGTTACACCCGTTCTGGGAGAAAAAAAACCCCCTGTAAATATAGCTTTAGGACAGGTTACGAAAATACACATTTGCACACGTTGATGCATCTGACCCAAACAAGTCTTTCCCTGTCTCAGGTTTTAGTTTTAGTTACAATGAGATATTTTCACCGTTGTCGATGTGGACAGCAGATTGGTTTATTATGACTGTCAGCGAGGCGGCTGCATATTCAAAGCTTAATGAGACCGCAGGATGAAGGATTTGACCAGAATCAGCTCTTGGATGCAAAGTAGCATTTATG